TGAAGTCGGACACCCAACCGACTGAGCCACCCAGGTGCCCCTGTTTCTTTTTCTTAAATGGTAATCTCATTTGTTTTTTATCCTTTTGAAACTTACAGATTTAAGGCTATACGTTGCTTTCATTGCCTATCTCTTATGATTTTATTACCTCTTTTTTCACCGAATACATTTTCTTGGAGTTTAAGTAAGTTTAAATCTTTTCATACTAAACCATTTCCTTTCCCTTGACTCTGTCAGCCTCATAAGCTGTTGTTTTATTTTGTTTTCATTTATCATCCAGCCTCTCAAGTAATCTGTCAACTACCATCTGCCATTTCCTTACCTGCTATGTACTCTTTTGACTTCCATTATATTGAAATCATAACCTAAAAATTTGACACTCAGCTACCCACCCTTCTCCTTGACATTCTTTTCTTTCTTGACCTTTGTGTGATTGTACTCACCTGGTTTTGGCGCATTTTTAAATGTCTCCACTGTTTTGTTTTGGTTTTTTTTTAACAATTTTTCTGGCCCTTAAAAATAGATGTTTCCCAAGGTTCTGTGGTTCAGCTTTCTTTTCATTATATTCCCTCATTCTAGGAAATTTCACCAGCTGGTCAAATCTTTGTCTATAACTACATTATTTCTTTCAAACTTCTGACATGTGTTTTATTCTTTTGTTTTTGTTTTTTGTTTGTTTTAAATAGGCTCCATGCCCAATGTGGGGCTTGAATTTACAAACCTGAGATTAAGAGTCGCATGCTCTACCAACTGAGCCAGCTAGAAGCCCCCTAACACGCACTTTAAAGTACCCACTGAGGGACGCCTGGGTGGCTCACTTGGTTAAGTGTCTGACATCAGCTCAGGTCATAATCTCATGAGATTTACATTGGGTTCTCTGCTGTCAGTGCAGAGCCCGCTTCATATCCTCTGTCCCCCTCTCTCTACACTTACCCTCCCTCTCAAATAAACAAACATTAAAAAAAATTCATTTGTGCCTGAATATAATAAATATGTATGTATATAATGCAGTTTCATTATAGAATACATTTAACTAGAGCTTTACCTTTAAGAACTTTTGACTTAATACAATTACTGGTTTCAGATGAGATTGCAGTGTGTGACTGTGTAACTCCCATTCTGAAAGCACCTTTAGTAATCTCTTCATATTTTAGGTCCCTTCATGTGGCATTTAGGTCACAATCTGTTGCCTTTCTTTTCAGCCTCATTTCTTATTTTTCCCTACCTCATACTTTTTACTCCATCAACACAGCTGCTTATGGTTTCCTCTGTCGTGTAGTTTCTTGCCATCTTGGCTTTGCTTGTGCTCTTAGGCCTAGACCAACCTTCCACCCATATCACTTGAGTTCTACCTTCTTTTTCAGCCTCAGTTCAAGAACTCAGGAAGCCTTCCTTGTCTCTTATCCTTATGCCAAAAGTAGGGTAAGGACCCTGAACTCTGTCTTCTTGGCATATCTAGAGTACACCTTTATTAGTCATTGAAACCACCACGATTTATTATGATGAACTGTTTTTATTTGCCTTTTATAGACTGAAGGTAAGAGTATCTTATCTTCACTATCTCAGTAACCCAAAGTGCCTGGCATGTCAGGACCCAACAAACGATTGTTGAACTAAGCTGTATTTCTTTGTAGACATAGCATTTGTCTCTAGTGTCTGTTATACACAGGGTTAGCTACTATCTATTTATTGGACTGAAAAATGAGAGTCACAATTTAGAAGGCATTGGATTGAGTCTTTTCTGATGTTTTCACAGACCAGATGAAGAAGTCCTGCAAGCTGTGAAGATACTTATATGGGTTTAGTCAATGGGTAGATGCTCATGACTTAAAAAGAATGCTTTAGAGTACTGAACATCAGACTGGAGTAAGAGCTATAGTAGCAGTTGGGGTTCTCCCCAGGTGACAATTCACTTGGGATGAAGAGACAGAAAATGTGCTGGCCAGATCTTTAGGTGACACAAATCTGGAAAGCCTAGCAAATATATTCAAAGACTGTCAGTATTTAAAAAGATCCTGGCAAACCAAGTCTTGTAGGGAGAAGTTAACCTAAGAAGGGTTGGGGGGAAAACCAGGTAAGTGCAGCGTGGGAGTTTGAACTTGGCAGTAGGAAGTGTAGTAGACTGAGGGAATCTTGCTGACCACACACTAAGTGTAAGGCAGCATGGTGCAGCTACCCCAAAACTTTTTTTTTAATGTTTTTATATTTGAGAGAGAGCAAGTGGGGAGGGGCATAGAGAGAGGGGGACAGAGGATCTAAAGTGGGCTCTGTGCTGACAGCAGAGAGCCCGATGCAAGGCTCGAACTCATGAACTGCGAGATCATGACCTGAACTGAAGTCCATGCTCAACTGACTGAGCCACCCAGGCACACCTACCCCAGAAAACTTTTATTAACAGACTCAGCATCTTCACATAAAGTGGAAATAAGAGCCTTAGTCACTCTGTACCATGCTGTGTCATTTCCCACCTGGGCTATTCAGTTCTGGGCTTGATGCATTTGGAGAGAGATGTTCACACTGGAGGGGTGTTCATAGAAGAGTGGGCAGGAAGGCTAAATATTGTGTAAGATGTAAATGCAGAACTGGGGGTGTTAATCAGTAGAAGGAGACACATGTAAACATAGCTGGGCTTTTTTTTTTTTTTTTTTTTTTTTTTTTTTTTTTTTTTTTTTTTTTTTTTTTTTTTTTTTGAGAGTGTGCGTGTGAATGGGGGTAGAGAGAGAAGGGAACAGAGGATCGTAAGCAGGCTCTGTGTTGACAACAGCAAGCCTGATGTGGGGCTCGAACTCATGAACCCTGAGATCATGACCTGAGCCAAAGTTGGATGCTCAATTGACTGAGCCACCCGGGGCCCCCAAACATAGCTGTTTTTAAACATCTTAAATACTGTCTCAGAAAACCACTCAAAATATTTTGGATTGGGGGGCTGCAAAGAGTAGTTCTTAAACCAGTGGTGGGATACTGGAAGGAGGCAGATTTCATCTGTCCTGTAGGGCTTTCGAACAGCAATTGTCCAAAGATCAAATGGGTTACTTGGTGAGAGAGTGAGTTTCCCACTACCTAAGGCATACAAGCAGGAGTTGGCTACGACTTGGTGAAGGTGCTCTCAGAGGATTTTCAAACATAAATAAACTGTGAGGCCTGCTAACTAAGGCAGCCCAAAGTCTTTCTCCCCATTTTTTCTCATGGGTACACATTTTATTTTCATAATGGAAGTCATTGAGGAAAAGATTCCCTTTGCCAATAAGCTTGTGATACTAAATACATTAGATTTTGTTTATATACTTTGTGACTTGAATTACTTTTAACTGTAAATTGTTTCTTTTAATAGATGGACGACCTCAGTGGGAGGTAGAAGGGAAAATAATCCGGGAAAAATGTCAAGGGGTAAGAAATTTATTTCTTCAGAAACATTTAAGAAGCTTAGAACATTGGATAATGCTACTTTATATTATAGATGAGGAGTCTTTTATCTAATGAGTAATAGAAAAGTAAATTAGAATTTTTAGAAGTTTGGACATGAAATAGGTACTCTCCTTATTCTAAAATTAAAGTGTAGGAAAGATAAACAATTGGTGTCTTTGCCTTTTTTGTGTATAGGAAAGGAGAAATTAAAAGGTTCTTACTACTGTTATCATTAGTTTATTTCTCTGAATTCAGTGAAAAAATCAAATTCAGTGAAGCCCACATAGAATGGGAAAAAATAGGGAGAGAACAAGCCCTAAGGAGTTTGTGTATTTAGCGCAATTTTTGCAACTTTTCAGCATTAAGCCTTCCAGGATTCAACACTGTGGTCCCTTCATCCTGATTGGAATGGAGACAGAATTTTTTGTGGGTTAGAGAATAACACTTTCCACAGTGCTCTCCAGAGACCTGGAGAAATTAGATTAAGGATTGCAGTTTCACTCTGCTTATGTAAAATTATTTTTTATATGGAAATGAATTTTTTATATTGCTAGTTTAGAACATTCTGAATATCAAGTTTAAGGTAAGAAATCTAAATTATAACACAACTGAGGAAATATTAAACCTGATTGAAAACCAGGACAGACTTCCAGTTAAGATACATAGTAACGTGTAATATTCAGTAGTGCAGAATATCTCACTACATGGTACATAATGACTGTTTTTATTTCTGCTCCAACTAGAAACCCAATTGGATGACTAAAAGGCAATTTCTCCTTTAATGGTTTATTTTCAAGAGTTTATCTCTGTTGAGACTAGAGTTTCATAGAGTAAATCTCCAGATGACTTACATGACCAATTGATGTGCATAATGATCTATGATGGGAGACACTGGGTAGTTAAGCCTCATGAGTTGTGCTGAGTTTAGCAGGTGCATTTCATTTTTAGTTCTGAATGTAACACAATCTTACTACTTTCCATGCTCCTTAGGCTCACATTGTCCTTGAAGTTCCTCCATATCATAACCCAGCAGTTACAGCTGCAGTGCAGGTGCACTTTTATCTTTGCAATGGCAAGAGGAAAAAAAGCCAGTCTCAACGTTTTACTTATACACCAGGTATGGGGAGTTGTGATGGTTTACCACAGAGCTTGCTTTCATAATGAATAAAAAGTTATTCAATGAAACCTGTATTAGAATGTTTACAATAGAGTACTTAGAATCAATAAAAATCCTAACATATGCCTCGTCTGTAAAGTTTGTGTAGACTTTAAATATTAGATGTGATATTAGCTGTTATTTTGTAGTTATTTATTATAAGGAGATTAGAAGGTTGAATTTTGATTTTAAGTCTGTTTATCTGGAGCTACCAGAAATCCCCAGCACAACAGTAAGGGCAGGTGTTTGTGAATATGTGTGAAACTCCTTTGTGCCCTTAGCACACTGCAAGAAGGCAGTGTGTTCATCTCAAGCATTTCCAGTCAGATGAAAAATCTCTCATTAGATTTTCATTTGGCAAGTAGCAACTGTAGTATACTGTGGTCTGTGGGTTATATAAAGTCGATTCCAGAGTTTCTGGTTTTATAGATGTGCCCTAACAAAGGAGGCTGCCATACCTCTTTCTGCAGCAATTCAAATGCTGTAACTTTCCAGCTCTTGGTAGTAACACATAAATATTATATGCAGTAATTCATGCTGATGTTTACATAGTTAGAGAACAGATATTTCTAGAGGCCTTCTCTGTCCTAGGTGCTGTGTCAGTGCAGGGCTTGAACTCATGAAACATGAGATCATGACCTGAGTTGAAGTCACATGCTCAACTGACTGGCCACCCACACACCCCCGTTGCAAAAACTTTTAAATGGTTTATAGTAAATGAAAAACAGAAACACTTAAATTTGAGAAGGTACTAGTTATTAATGATCACTTATTTGTCATTCCTATTCTTTAAAGCCTGGCTGTATTCCACTTTAAGCCTCTAAAGGCCATTTATATTCCCAGATCTGAAAATTAATATTACTTGATCATGTCAATACATTATTGGTAATAAAATATTTCTATTCATTTTCAAATAGAATACAACCCTTTTGAAAGATTTTGGTTAGTCATTTCAATATTAATTCAGTAAGTATTTGAGGGTGCCTCCTAAGTGGACAAAACCTCTCTCAGTTCCTTCTTTCATGGAACTTATAATCTAGTGAATCAATAAATTAATTACCAACAAATGTATAATTAGAAACTGAAATAAGGACTCTGATTAAAAGGGATACAATACTATAGGTAAAAATAACAGAGGGACCCTTGCTTGGGTTAACTGCTTGAGAAAACCAGGATGTATGTATGTATGTATGTATGTGTGTGTATACATACTCTATATATGGTATATATAATGTATGTAAAAATAATACTGTCTAAGCCCTTTGTGTATTTATTCTTTTAATCCACATAATAGACCTTTATAGTAGGTTATTATCTTATTTTACAGAAGAAGAAATTGAGTGGCTAAGTAATATGCCCAGAGTCTCACAGTCTTAGAACCACATGTCAAGCACAGGCAATCTGGTTCCAGAGTCTGGGCTCCTAACTGTTAAGCTAGAGTACATCTCAGATAAGTAATATTGCCGTCTCCATTTTGCAAATACGTGAACCAAGGTCACTCAGCTAGTAAGTGGCAGAGGTGAGATTTGAATCCAGGCAATCTGGCTATAGGGGGAAAACATTCCAATTAAAGGTAGCAACATATACGAAGGTCGTGTGGTTGGTTGGATAATGGAGTATTAAGAGTTCTAAAATGGGGCGCCTGGGTGGCTCAGTCTGTTGAGCGTCCAACTTCAGCTCAGGTCATAATCTCATGATTCGTGGGTTCGAGCCCCGCATCAGGCTCTGTGCTGACAGTTCAGGGCCTGGAGCCTGCTTCGGATTCTGTGTCTCCCTCTCCCTCTGCTCCTCCCCTGCTCACACTCTGTCTCTCTCTCAAAAATAAATAAAGGTTTAAGAAAAAAATTTTTTTTAAATAAAAGAGTTGTAAGAAATGAGCTTTAACGGAGAGGTGACATGATCAAATATGTATTAAAAATTTTTTTTCGGGGCACCTGGCTGGCTCAGTTGGTAGGGCATGCAATTCTTGATCTCAGGGTCGTGAGTTTGAGCCCCACATTGGGTGTGGAGCCTACTTTACAATAAAATCATTTTCTCTACAATATATGAATGTATCAAACTAACATTTTGTACACCTTAAATTTTACACAATGTTATATGTCAAATATTTTCAATTTAAAAAAAAGTTAAAAATAGGGGCGCCTGGGTGGCTCAGTTGAGTGCCTGCTTGACTTTGCTCAGGCCACGATCTCATAGTTTATGAGTTCAAGCCCCACATCGGGCTCTGTACTGACAGTGAGGAGTCTGCTTGGGATTCTCTCTCCTTCCTGCTCTGCCTCTCTCTTTAAATAAATAAACAAACAAACTTCAAAAAAAAAACTAAAATAGGGGTGCCTGGGTGGCTCAGTCGGTTGAGTATCTGACTTCAGCTCAGGTCATGATCTCACAGTTTGTGAGTTTGAACCCCGTTTTGGGCTCTTTGCTGACAGCATGGAGCCTGGAGCCTGCTTCAAATTCTGTGTCTCCCTCTCTCTCTGCCCCTCCTCTGCTCACTCTGTCTCTCTGTCTCTCTCTCTCTCTCAAAAATAAAGAAACATTAAAAAATTAAAAATTAAAATCATTTCTCTCATATTTCTACTGTTTTCTTATAAGGTGTCAATGACCAGTGTAGTCTTTCCTCAGATTACTATGGAGAGTGAGATTTGTATGGCAGAGACCCAAGAAGGTTAAAAATATGCTTCAGATAACTAGAGTGTTTTGAATATACAGAAGAGACAACATTAATGATAATAAAGCATATCAGGTTTCTGAGAAAGGTGGGAAGGAATATAATTTCAAATATAAAAGTTGGTGGGGCGCCTGGGTGGCGCAGTCGGTTAAGCGTCCGACTTCAGCCAGGTCGCGATCTCGCGGTCCGTGAGTTCGAGCCCCGCGTCGGGCTCTGGGCTGATGGCTCAGAGCCTGGAGCCTGTTTCCGATTCTGTGTCTCCCTCTCTCTCTGCCCCTCTCCCGTTCATGCTCTGTCTCTCTCTGTCCCAAAAATAAATAAACGTTGAAAAAAAATATATATAAAAGTTGGAATGGGCCTTAGTTGGGAGAAGGAAAGGAGGGAAGGTAAAGATGAAAAAGATGTATATATATTAGGTTTGTAAATTTAATAGTGGAGAGTTTAGGGAGTTTCCATATAATAGCATTGACTTTTTTTTCTTTAAAGAATAACATGCAGTCTTTTGTGAGTAGAGGGAACTGTGGGTGTTTTGGCAGTTTGAAGAATATGGACAAGTTTGAAATAGTTGTTGTAAAGAAAGGGGGGAGTAAGTTACCACAGAAATATAATTGGACTCTGGGCATGATCACAGGGTACCTTTAATGTTGATATTAATAAATTTATCAATATTAATTAGCCCGGCTGTGTAACTTTCTTAAGCAGCACTCAGATTCTTTAGGGCAGGTGGTAAAATATTAATAGTAGGGTTCCTCCAGGGTGATATTTATTAAAGACATACAGTCCAAGAATGTTATCAAATGCTGTGGAGATGAGAGACTGTAGAATCTAACCTGAATAAGAAAGAAGAGGAGCTTCTGGGACTGTTGAAACAAAAAAGGCAGAGGTGTGCCTGGGTGGCTCAATCAGTTAAGTGTCAGACTTTGGCTTGGGTCATGATCTCACGGTTCGTGGGTTTGAGCCCTGCGTTGGGCTCTGTGCTGACAGCTCAGAGCCTGGAGCCTGCTTCGGATTCTGTGTCTCCCTCTCTCTCTGCCCCTGCCATCCTCCTGCTCTGTCTCTCAAAAATAAAAAAAGTTAAAAAAAAAAAAAAAAGCTCAGGATAAGTGAATAGAGGTTTTGATTGCTACCATCATAGTGGTAGTAATTGAACAAAGAGAATATAATGCTCTTACATTATCAGCTCATGAGTTGGGAGGACAACATAAAGGCAGAGTCCTGGAGGGCATTCTATATGAGAATGGAAATCATTGGGGCCCCAGAGTGCAGAAAGAATTTTGGATTGGACTACAACTGTCATCACTGGGCTTATGATTGACAAAATACAAATCAGGTGGCACACACTAACAGAAGGAAGAATAGATTCAAGAATTGTTTGGACAGCCCTTGTTCTGGTTGATTACTATCTTTTCTCTGTAGCATTTGGCTTTTTTCATTTTTTTCTAAAGTGAAATTTGGAATAAAATCTTTACAAAAGCAAATATATTCCTGTGAATTTATTTTTTAAAACAGACAAGTTGAAAATATAATTTCAAACACCCAAAATTGTCTTCCACTCTGAAATTGTTATTCTGTCCTAGATCCTTTTGATCCATTTATAGACACAATTTAAAATAAAAATTGGGGGTGCCTGGGTGGCTCAGTCGGTTAAGCGTCTGACTTTGGCTCAGGTCATGGTCTCATGGTTCATGGGTTCGAGCCCCATGTTGGGCTTTGTGCTGATAGCTCAGAGCCTGGAACCTGCTTCGAATTCTCTGTCTCCCTCTCTCTCTCTGCCCCCCCCCCCCACTCATGCTCTGTCTCTGTCTCTGTCTCTCTCTCAAAATAAACATTAAAAAAAGGTTTTTTTAAATAAAAATGGGACCAAAATGTATACAGTATACTAATTTTGTAACCTAAACATTTTTATTTTGCTTCATGAACAGATAGAGTTTTATAGAATTTTAATAGCTTCTCATATTCTAGTTTGTGATACTTATATTAGAGTTGTTTGTTGTATTAATTTGTATGAACTGTTTATATTAAAGATTTTAGGGGTGCCTGGGTGGCGCAGTCGGTTAAGCGTCCAACTTCAGCCAGGTCACGATCTCGCGGTCCGGGAGTTCGAGCCCCGCGTCAGGCTCTGGGCTGATGGCTCAGAGCCTGGAGCCTGTTTCCGATTCTGTGTCTCCCTCTCTCTCTGCCCCTCCCCCGTTCATGCTCTGTCTCTCTCTGTCGCAAAAATAAATGTTGAAAAAAAAATTAAAAAAAAAAAAAAGATTTTAGCCTTTTTTTGTTTCTGACAATTCTTTTAAAT